AAAGAAAAATTCGCTAGTAATAGGTCACCAAGGTCGCATATTTCGTAAACCCTCTCTAATATCTCGTGCATTGTGTAAACTGAATTAAGTGGATTTTTATTGTTGCTCAAAGTAATTAAATTTACATTTAGATATATCAAATGCACGGACAATAATTTAGTATATCCACTAGTAGCTCGCTGCTTGATACGTATCATTTTTTTCTAGGTGTTCAAAGTAGCCATTTAGTTCGTTGAAGTATACAGCTAGTCCAACTTTTTTTTGGTGACATAATAAACCAGAAACCAAAAATTTCAGCTGTGTGATTTTTGGCATGGCTCGAAAAAATTGGGCCATAGAAATAATTGTTGCTGTTCGACTTGTTACTATCTAAAATATATTGAAATTGTGAAAGGTCTTGTCATAAAGAATCATTCGATTTCTTGAAGTATAACTTTGTATTGTATTTCGTAATAAACATGAAAACTTCATTACTTGCAAAGGATCAACTCGATAAATTCCGACAGTAATTTCACAAGGCTAATTAGATAATTAGTAATTGCAAGAATGCGATAGTGATAATTGGTGTGTACATTCGACAGGTTTGTTTTTGTTATCAAACCGGACGGAAAAATTAGTTGTGTAAGCCACCTCAATACAGAAATTATTCTTCAGCCGTCATCAATGAGTACAGTAATTTTTTTCCTAAATAGATGACTGCGTGTCATATCATTATTAAGGCATTTCACTAAGGATTTTATTTGAAATCTGTCAAATCAGTGTTGCCTTTGTAGCAAAAGTAGAAGGAATTTTTGAATTGCTTTTCGTTAAGGTTAAGACATTGCTTGAAAATACGTACAGGGTAATCATCGAAAACTACCGGAAAAGAACTTTTCTCAAAAATCCAAAACCCCTACAGTTTCATAGGTAGAATTGGAACTTCTGGCGTACATGGAATCTATCAAAACACTTTTCCCACAGCAGAACAAAAATACTGTCTTTCGACGAGCGTTTCGCTAACCAAGCTAGCTTCATCAGTAGACGGCTGTTATGATTCCTAATCTCTATTTGTTTCACCTATAATTATATTATTACTCAAGAGGGTAAATAACGGACGGAATAAACTTTCGAAGGCTCGAAAAACCTCTTATCATGTACCGGTCTCTACAATTTCAAGGATTTTTCACTTATTCTGTGGCCCTTTTCTCTACTGGCATGTTTAGCGACACTAACTAGTCTTATCTGGTCTAGAAAACCGAATATGTGAAGCATGTTCCTTGAAAGGCGTGTTTATAGTTCACTTAGTTTGACCAACATACGTTTTATCAATCTTCACGGCGTATTCCGTGAATCCCAGATTTTTCGTTTTCCGTTATCCTCTCCTCATTATTATAAGTTGATTGGTTTCATAGACCAGAAAAGTTTAGTGTCGCTCGACAAATACATAAGTCCTTTTTTTTTAATGTAAATGACAAGTGGAAACATTATAAATTGAAAATATATTGAAATTTTGATTTTTCCTCCGAAGAAACTCGATATATTTCACATTTCAAAACTCCTTTGACACCTGCCGAGGAAGTTCGAAAATAATCAGAATCAAAGAAAAGCTGTAAGTTATGATTCTTTTTTTTTCAGTTCTGAAGAAGAACTTCTGTTACGGAGAATTAAAAAATACAAGCTACTGAAGGATAGTGCTAGTTCAGAAGTTCCTTTCAGTCCAAACGTTTTTCTCCGCCTCCGAAAAATTTGAACGAGGTGCCATTCGATTTGGAATACTCTGTAGATGATTTTTGAAAAAATCAAGTGACGCTTGCAAAAGTTATGAGCAATCAACTGAAAAAAATTGGCGCCTACTGGATAATGCGCGGTCAAAAAATTGTTATCGTGATTTTCCAGTTGACTATGCATTAGTTAATTAANAACGATCGACAGTTTCTCGAGACCTCTCGCCTCGTAATTTCACCTTCGACAAAAAGGTCAGATGAATGACTCTCCGCCGTAATAATGGCCATATTTTATGCTAAATGGTGCGGGAGCTATTATTCCGATTGCAGTGTGGCGCAACGCGGCAGGCAACGACAACCTTGCGGTATACTTTCTCTTCGGGGGGTTGGTTGCTTGCCGAAGAGACGATCCTAATCGCACCCACGTCTTTGAGTTTCGTACCTTTTGATTTGTCACGATACCTGGAAGGTGTTTTGTACAGGTGGTTGAGTGAACTGTTTTATATTTACATATTCAGAATATGTTTGTATCAAGATTCTGGACTGGATATTTGATTTGAGACAGCTTTATTTAAGGCATTTCCGATAAAAGAATGAACTGCAAGACTCTCTAGTGTAGAATACTGGACTAGTCGCTCAATTTCATTGTCTTTGAAACCTCAAATGGATTGGATAGAGAAGTTATTATTCTTTGGTTCCATGACATGACACACCAAGGACCATTCATGAATGTACAAACACTTGATTTCTTCAAAAATGAACTGATTGAAACAAAGAAATTTTAAATTCGGGCAAACATCCGTCATTTGATGGACTAAAGAGAAATATATGTAACGTATTCTAAAAACACTTTATTGTGTGATTTTCACTAGATAGTTTTACAAAAACGCAACACGTGTTTCGCCATACACTGGCTTCCTCGGGCGTGTCTTAATAACCAATTCTACACATTAAATGCTACATATACCTTATTCTACAATTTGAGGTACCTGAATTTCAAATGCCTGATTTTTTACCTAAGTTTGTAATGAATTTAATTACCTGAACTTATGTTACATTTTCCACATTTGAAAAAATATTCAGTAACGGAGAGTTATTTAATTCTAATTGATCATTCAGTATATTACCCGAATTCCTGAATCTATTGATTTCTAAACATTCTAGATTGACTTTCAAATTCTTCTTTTCTAAATGTAACA